GAGTAAATTTTGGGAGGCAAGGCTAAGTTAAATTCAAAGGCATTTTGAGGCCTGTTCACATCATCCTAGGTCTGTCAATCCGTCGTAGTTATGAAGAGTAACTGGGTTTCGACGAATGTCCTGAGATAACATTTTTAGTGAGACCTTCCTCAGGTTATGCGACGTAGGCTGATTATAACTCTTATTCCCAACACAAACCCTATAGTTTAATCGAAGGTATGAAGACCAAGATGGTTTGGCCTTTTGTGTGGTCGCAGTATCCTTTCGTTGTATAGAAGTTTTTTGACCTTGTTTTCGCAACTCGGTCATATTGGTATAGGTGGGTTCCTCTAAGTATTCCTACCAATATGACCAAATTGCGAAAACAAGGTCAAGCTAACCGTATACTTTGATACGTGCCTTTCACTGCAGACGGTGAGAATCTGTTCGTTCCTTTCAGAAAGACTTTCGAAAAACAAATTTTCACTGGCTTTCGGGACAATGAGTCGGGTAAACTGATACAAATTTGCATGCGACCTGCTGCAGAAATGCCACGAGAAGCGAGCCTGAACTCGAGACTGGCTTTCTGAAGGTGTACACATCAAGGCTAGGTAGGAAGTTGCCTATTCCGGTCAGGATCTTTCCCTGAACTCTGCTTACTTTACTGGGCAATAGAAACGTTATAACTTTACCTATTCTTAGAAGTTGTTTGTCCTTGCATTCTCAACTTGGTCATATTGGTAGGAAGACTTAGAGGAACGCACCTAGTCCGGAGTCGATTGTATGCATCATCATTTCCAGAGTAGGACCGTGGACGTGGTACATTCCCGGACTTTTCGCCGGCCTCGTCAGTGGGTATCGCTATTCTTAGCACCATACAACAACTCGTCTGAGAATGTACCACGTCCACGGTCCGACTTTGGAAATTATTATGCATACAATGGACACCGGACTAGGTGCTATCCTCTGAGTCCTTCTACCAATATGGCCAAGTTGCGAAAACAAGGTCAAACAACTTCTATACAACGAAAGGAGACTGCGACCACACAAAAGGCCATATTTTGGTCTTTATACCTTCGATTTTACTTATTATTACTAACAACTGTATTCATCTTGGTTCGTATAAGGCTGATGGTTTACATTTTCCCTTATTCAATTGAAAGTCGACCTCAGGACACCATTTAATGATAATTGGCTTTTTTTCCAAGCCTGTTGAGTTTCCCCAACACCACCAACGGGCTTTGAAACCCGGTGATGCACGGTTGATTTTCAACATATCTCCACCAAAACACTCTGCTACATACGCCAAAGTCTAGCAGGCCAGATATGAATTTCATGTTTACCCAGGATCCTACCATATCCCATCTTTGTTGTGAATTGTCAATGAGGCAAACTTGTGTTGCATCTTACAATCGAATGCGCTAGTTTTTCTCCTTGAGCTTGCTTCTATTCTGCCTGTATATCTTGAATAAGAACTGTATTCAAGATCTATGGCTAATATCGAAGCCCACTCAATATAAGTATGACTAGAGTAGTCGGATGTAATACCTAATATTACTTATTTTGACCTGATTGTTTCGGATCAAGACTTACGATTCTCAAATGAATCTGAATGAGATTCAGCATAAAATAAACCTAAAACCCCGTTTTCTTTTGCAGGAACGCGAGCGTGAGCGCCAGCTACGACTTGAGCTCGAGGCGGAAATCAGAGAAAAGGACAAGTTAGCCCAGGAAATCATGCAACAGCATGAAGAGGTAAGCGACTTGGAGGAGTTTTTCGAAATGATGACATTAATCTCAAATCTCAAATGCGCTTAGTTACAGCCGTTTACTTTGCCCGAAATCAATAGAAGTGCAATAGACAACTTTTATATGAACCATATAAGCACGCATGCACACATCTCAGAAACAACTTTATTTGTAAGCCGATGTTTATTGTTCTTAGGAATTAAATGTCTAGCTCACTATCGCTAATAACTTTTGAGCTGGTAATTGTTCGCCTCCAGACACAAAAGTTTCTGGTGCGAATCCCCAAGCTCTACATAGTAGTTATAAGCGCTAAGGAAGGTTGAATTCCCAATCCACTCCTGGCGCGAAAGTACGCTTGGGATACAAGACAGCGCGACATTCTTTGGTAGTCAAGGCTACATTATGAATCCTTTTTGTAGATTAAACCATCAGACTTTGTGACCTCAGAGGTCCTGGATACGGATCTGTCGAAAAATTGATGGCATTCCGTGGTTAATGGGCTAAATTCCTTGCTGAGTTTTCGTCCGTCATGTGACGGACATCACCAGAGCAGGACATCATGCCTAATGATAATTCACGAAGAACACTAAGGCAAGAAAAGTGACCAGCTTCGAACCTACCTGATAGTCCCTACAGTCAAATTTGGTCCACTCACTTAGGCACCTCATATTTTGGTTGGATATCACATGCCTTGCCTAAATGTTTGTTAAAAATTCAATTGGCTGCGGATGACATGTGAACTGGCTACAGATGAAGCCTAAAACAGGTGCAATTGTGAGCCAACTGCTCCATTATTTATTTTTCGAATAAAGTATTGTTTTCGTGACTACCAGTAAA